AATGATGGGGTAGGTGGGCCTGGTGTTTAAGAGGGATCAGAGAGTAACCTGTGACAGTGCTAGAGGTGTGAAGAAGAGCCTGCAAACCATTCTTGGCTAAATCTCTCCTGGGTAAAGGCATAATCTTCTATATAATAATTGCTCAGGCCTGAAATCTGAGTCATCATTCCCTTTGAAGATCCAACTAGGTTTTGTGTATTAAAGGCTCTGAGCAGTCCTGCAGTAAAGAAACTGGTTTTTTATTGAACCCAGTTTCCTCCAAACTTATCTGAGCATGGGATCTTCATGCCCCAATGGACCTCACAAATCAGGGAAACTGCTCTGTGGAATACACTTTAGGAAACCTCAACCTATAGGATCTAGCACGTGAAGGACAAACTCTCTGAGATTTGGCTCCTACTGAATTCTACCACTTTCCTGTCCCTATCACCTCTGACCAAGCTGAAGTTCTTTTGGTTCAGGAAATGTGCTAGGCTTTCAAGCTCATGCCTGCAGTTTCTTGGAATGGATACATTCTTTGTCCACCTGGCAAAGCCCTTGTAAGTCTCAAACTAAGCATAGTTGCACCATCGGTGAGACTTCCTTAATTCTTATAGGCACGATAAATTAAAAAAAATTTTTTTTTTGTTTTTACGTTTATTTATTTTTGAGAGAGAGAGACAGAGCACTAACAGGGGAGGGGGGGAAAGAGAGAGAGAGTCTCGGAGACACAGAATCTAAAGCAGACTCTAGGCTCTGAGCTGTCAGCACAGAGCCCGATGCGGGGGGTCGAACCCACAAACCGCGAGATCATGACCTGAGCCAAAGTCAGACACTTAACTGACTGAGCCACCCAGGCTCCCCACAATAAATTTGTTTCTAGGCACTTTATTGAAATTCCATTGACTGTATTAAAAGTACTTGCTTTGTGGGGCGCCTGGGTGGCTCAGTCTGTCAAGCATCAGACTCTTGATCTCAGCTCAGGTCTTGATCTCAGGGTTGTAAGTTCACGCCCTGCATTGAGGGCATGAACTTTTAAAAAATAAATTAATTAAAATAATAAAAGTAATTGGTTTGACAACTTTACTAATTGGCTCCTTCCTTAATGACTTAACTAAATCTTGGACATGTGCTCACTTAAAACTACCCTCTCTCTTACAAAAGAGAAATCTATTTCTTGAGAGAAATAGATGACTGAGGTTTGGGTGCTAAACATATAAAACCAAATTATGTTCCAAACAGGCTGGAGATGTGAAGCCCTCTGTGTTCTGACAGGAGATCCAGAAAAGACACATGAGGGCGTCTGTGAGGCTCAGTCAGTTCAGTGTCCAACTCTTGATGTCGGTTCAGGACATGATCCCAGGGTCATGGGATACAGCCCTGTGTCAGGCTCCCTGCTGAGTGTGGAGTCTGATTAACATTCTCTCTCTCTCTCGAGATCACAACCAACACACCAGGAATAAAAACAATAATAAGAGAATATTATGAGCAATTATATGCCAATAAAATGGGCAACCTGGAAAGAAATGGACAAATTCCTAGAAACACATACACTACCAAAACTGAAACAAGAACAAATAGAAAATTTGAACAGACCCATAACCAGTAAAGAAATCGAATTAGTAATCAAAACTCTCCCAAAAAACAAGAGTCCAGGGCCAGATGGCTTTCCAGGGGAATTCTACCAAAGATTTAAGGAAAAGTTAACACCTATTCTCTTGAAACTGTTCCAAAAAATAGAAATGGAAGGAAACCTTCCAAACTCTTTCTATGAAGCTAGCATTACCTTGATTCCAAAACCAGACAGAGACCCCACTAAAAGGAGAATTTCCCAGACCAATTTCCCTGATGAACATGGATGCAAAAATCCTCAACAAGACATTAGCCAACCGGATCTAACAATACATTAAAAAAATTATTCACCACGACCAAGTGGGATTTATACCTGGGATGCAGGGCTGGTTCAATATCCACAAAACAATTAAGGTGATTCATCACATCAGTAAAAGAAAGAACAAGAACCGTATGATCCTCTCAATAGATGCAGAGAAAACATTTGACAAAATACAGCATCCTTTCTTGATAAAAACCTTCAAGAAAGTAGGGATAGAAGGATCATACCTCGAGATCATAAAAGCCATATATGAATGACCCAACGCTAATATCATCCTCAACGGGGAAAAACTGAGAGCTTTCCTAAGGTCAGGAACAAGACAGGGATGTCCACTCTCGCCACTGTTATTCAACATAGTATTGGAAGTCTTAGCCTCTGCAATCAGACAACACAAAGAAATAAAAGGGATCCAAATCGGCCGGGAGGAGGTCAATCTTTCACTCTTCGCAGATGACATGATACTCTATATGGAAAACCCAAAAGATTCCACCAAAAAACTGCTAGAACTGATTCATGAATTCAGCAAGGTTACAGGATATAAAATCAATGCACAGTAATCGGTTGCATTCCTATTCACCAGCAATGAAGCAACAGAAAGAGAAATCAAGGAATCAATTCCATTTACAATTGCACCCAAAACCATAAAATACCTAGCAATAAATCTAACCAAAGAGGTGAAAAATCTATACACTGAAAACTACAGAAAGCTTATGAAAGAAATTGAAGAAAACACAAAAAAATGGAAAAAGATTCCATGCTCCTGGAGAGGAAGAACAAATATTGTTAAAATGTTGATACTACCCAAAGCAATCTACATATTGAATGCGATCCCTATCAAAATAACACCAGCATTCTTCACAGAGCTAGAACAAATAATCCTAAAATTTGTATGGAACCAGAAAAGACCCCAAATAACCAAAGCAATCTTGAAAAAGAAAACTAAAGCAGGAGGCCTCACAATCCCAGACTTCAAGCTATACTACAAAGCTGTAATCATCAAGACAGTATGGTACTGGCACAAGAACAGACACTCAGATCAATGGAACAGAACAGAGAACCCAGAAATGGACCCACAAACATACAGCCAACTAATCTTTGACAAAACAGGAAAGAATATCCAATGGAATAAAGACAGTCTCTTCAGCAAGTGGGGCTGGGAAAACTGGACAGCGACATGCAGAAGAATGAACCTGGACCACTTTCTTACACCATACACAAAAGTAAACTCAAAGTGGATGAAAGACCTAAATGTGAGACAGGAAGCCATCAAAATGTCCGAGGAGAAAGCAGGCAAAAACCTCTTTGATCTTGCCCACAGCAACTTCTTACTCAACACGTCTCCAGAGGCAAGGGAAACAAAAGCAAAAATTAACTGGTAGGACCTCATCAAAATAAAAAGCTGCTGCACAGTGAAGCAAACAATCAGCAAAACTAAAAGGCAACCAACGGAATGGCAGAAGATATTTGTAAACGACATATCGGATATAAAGGGTTAGTATCCAAAATCTATAAAGAACTTATCAAACTCAGCACTCAAAGAAAAAAATAATCCAGTGAAGAAATGGGCAAAAGACATGAATAGACACTTCTCCAGAGAGGACATCCAGATGGCCAACCGACACATGAAAAAATGCTCAACATCACTCATCATCAGGGAAATACAAATCAAAACCACAATGAGATACCACCTCACACCTGTCAGAATGGCTAACATGAACAACTCAGGCAACAATAGATATTGGCGAGGATGCGGGGAAAGAGGATCTCTTTTGCACTGCAGGTGGGAATGCAAGCTGGTGCAGCCACTCTGGAAAACAGTATGGAGGGTCCCCAAAAAACTAAAAATAGAACTACCCTATGACCCAGCAATTGCACTACTAGGTATTTGTCCGAGGGATACAGGTATGCTGTTTTGAAGGAGCACATGCACCCCAATGTTTATAGCAGCACTATCAACAATAGCTAAAGTATGGAAAAAGCCCAAATGTCCATCGATGGATGAATGGATAAAGATGTGGTATATATATACAATGGAGTATTACTTGACAATCAAAGAGAATGAAATCTTGCCACACGCAACTACGTGGATGGAACCGGAGGATATTATGCTAAGCGAAATTAGTCAGAGAAAGACAAATATCATATGACTTCACTCGTATGAGGACTTTAAGAGACAAAACAGATGAACACAAGGGAAGGGAAGCAAAAATAATATAAAAACAGGGAGGGGGACAAAAACATAAAAGACTCTTAAATATGGAGGACAAACAGAGGGTTATGGGAGGGGTTGTGGGAGAGGGGATGGCTAAATGGGTAAGGGGCATTAAGGAATCTACTCCTGAAATCATTGTTGCACTATATGCTAATTTGGATGTAAATTTAAAAAAATGAAATTAAAATAAATAAAAATGTAAAAGCCAAAAAAAATTTTTTTTGAGTAACAACATTCTCTCTCTCTGCCCCTCCCCCTCCCACTGCACGCGTGCATCCTCTCTCTCTAAACAAAAATAAAAAAGACACACACTACTCCCCCGTGCCAGATGGGACTCATTAGTGTCAATCTGTGTGCTGGGCGCAGTCATCCAAGGATCCAGGGGGACAGTAACCTGTTTTGAGGATAGAAAGCAACTAACAGCATTTCTTACTGTCCCTAACGTCATGGTCCAGTTTCGCCAAAACCTTCACATATTCCTTCTGAGTGGAGACCGGTGCGGTGTTCCAGCCCATCACCGCTACTGGCTGAGACTGCCCACATCTGTTTGCCCACTTCAGGAGCCCTGACTGTAGGGTCTGCTGCTCAGAACTGTGGCAGAAGGCAGAGTCGAAGTAGATCCTGTTCATTAAAGATCATGTAAAAGTATACAAAAACTAGGTTCTTTCAGACCTTATTACCTTTTGACTGCTAGTCTCTAAGTAGGAGAGAAAGCATTCGTTATGGATACTCTCTGGGAATAAATCTTCACGGGAGTAAATCAAGAAACATGAGAAGGGGGAAAACCTCTAAACATCCCTGTAAACGGCATCCTGTAAGTTCAAATGGATTGTATCCCTTGGCCACATCATGCCCTGCTCAGATTTACAGCCATCAAGCTTCAAAGAAAAGACAGCAATAAATCCAATCCACATGGCTCTTGTAAAAAGGCATCTATTTGGTTTTTAATACAAAACGACTCAGAGAAACACAGAAAGAAAATATCATACAAGCCAGTTATTGAATTAAAAAAAAAAACAACCCAACAAACAAATTTCAGTCACATTTCCTGTTTTCAGCCTGGATTAGAAGACAGGAAACTGCAAACCAACCAATGTCTGTCTCTTTGAAGAAATCTTATTTAAAAAAAAAAAAAAAAAAAAAAGGAGGCAAAAACCAAACAGTCCCTGAAATCTGGCAGGTGGTTTTTAGAGGCCACTGTAAGCTTGCCTTAATCATCCTGGTAAAATGGGATACCAGTGGTGGTTGGGATATGGCCACATCCTCCTTGCCTTTTGCTATGAATGATCTTCGTCTGCAGGTAGGATGCTGGCCTGGGCACTATTCGATGCCGCTTCTGTAGTCTGAGGTCTCAAGGCCAAGCAGCGGTGGAGTCTTCCATTCTGTGTCTCACTGAATCTCCCCCATATACAGTCTCTTGTCACTGGACGCTGACAGAACTGAGGTGAGAAGAACAGAGAAGATGAGATGAGGGGAGCTAATGAAGGCTCAAGGAGACTTGGTGCTCAAGGGCTCTTGTGTCAAGAGCCAATTTTGGTAAAAAGAGCCATTGGATTTAGCTTAAATTCCCCTCCTCTCCAACACCATTCACAGGAAAACTGTAGCCTGGCTTTTTAGTTCAAGTCCTCCTTTTTTTTTTTAAATGTTTTATTTGCTTTTGAGAGAGAGAGAGAGAGACAGCGTGAACGGGGGAGGGGCAAAGAGAGAGGGAGACACAGAATCCGAAGCAGGCTCCAGGCTCCGAGCTGTCAGCAGAGCCCCACGTGGGGCTCAAATTCGTGAACCACGAGATCATGACCTGGGCGAAAGTCGGATGCTTAACTGACCGAACCACCCAGGTGCCCCAGTTCAAGTCCTCTTGAAACCAACCACAAGGGTGGACTGTGCTATGGGAAATGCATCTATCAGGGTCTAAACCCCGATGTCCCTCTTCAGCCACACCCTATGAAAAGACCTTCTCAGGGGCGCCTGGGTGGCGCAGTCGGTTAAGCGTCCGACTTCAGCCAGGTCACGATCTCGCGGTCCGTGAGTTCGAGCCCCGCGTCGGGCTCTGGGCTGATGGCTCAGAGCCTGGGGCCTGTTTCCGATTCTGTGTCTCCCTCTCTCTCTGCCCCTCCCCGTTCATGCTCTGTCTCTCTCTGTCCCAAAAATAAAATAAAAACATTGAAAAAAAAAAAACAAATTGAAAAGACCTTTTCAGCCAATCTCCAGAAGAATCAACGTCTGTGCCAGTCATTTTGTAAATGTGCTTCTGCTGGTTCTATTTAGCCCTGGAGAAAGTTATACTTTCTCCTTTAATTCAAGGCTCATTGTTTAATTAGCTAGCCAATATAACATAAGCTGCAATTTATATCTGAACATTAAGAAACATTATTCTTTTACCCAAACGTGTAACTGAAACACAGACTTGAAGCAAGTAAACTCAAGAGAACTAGAAATAGATTAACCAGTCTTCTTTTGAGAGTCACTGGAAATGGAACATTGCTCTTGACTTCATCACTTAAAACACTGGTGAGGCTGTCAATGGACAGCCATAAAGACAACAAGGAAATTCACATAAAACAGACATCCACTTCTGCCTTTGTATTTGCAGGGCCCCTTGAGGGAGATTTCCCCCAGTTTCCCTTTCCCCAAAGTCGGGACAGACTTACTGATGGGTTCATCGGGGTGGAAAGCCACTTCATTGATGGAGCCAGCGTGTCCAGGCAGCTTATACAAAATCCTCCTGCTTGTGGTATCCCACACATACACAAACCTGCAAGGTATCATGAAGAGCAGTGTTAAAACTTCCCAGAGCTGAGGGTAGGGTAGAGGCACGGCTTTTTAACAGAGATGGAAGCAACAATTTACTCATTCATCCACCCCATATTTATTGAACTGTGTTCTGGTGTTTACAGACTAGAAATACAGATTCTGAATAACGGATGGACCCTTGAGCAACTGAATAGAGAAACTGGAACAGCTACAACTATAAGCATTCCTTGTATTTCAAACGTAAGCTTTTGAAATAGGAAAGAACGTGGAGGAAGACCGTTTTTCCTACGGTCCCCACACAGAAATCTTCAAAGGGCATCTGATAGGCATCTAGGATGTCTTAAAGCTAACGCAATTCTCAGCAGGCTGGGAGCCTAGGGTGCGGGCCCATGTGAGCCTCCCAGGACTGCGTTCAAATCACAGAGCTGAGAGAAGGGACAGGAAATTTCTGCAGTATTAACCCACACCAAATACAGACTTGACCCAATCTTGCCCTGAATTCATGGGAACTCCATGACCAGCTGGTCAAAACTCAGTTTACAGATAAGAAAACTAAGGTATAGTGACTCTTCCAAGGTGACACAGTTCATCAGAGGCAGAACTAAAATTGGAACTTTTTTTTTTTAAAGTAGGCTCCATGCCTAATATGGGGCTTCAACTCGCAACCCTGAGATTAAGAGTCACATGCTCCACTGACTGAGTCAGCCAGGTGCCCCTATAATCAGAACTCTTAATATATTCTAGTAATCTCCTTTCTCTTACCACCCTCAAACATCTTCTAATTCCTCTCGCCCCTCGGAAGTTCTTCTGACCTTCAACCTCGCTTGGGTTATTTTGGGGCTGAAGGGTAAAATAAAGAGACATTATCTTCACATACCCATGCAAAAATAATCTGTGGGTAAATTTAAAGGGCTGGTGGTTTTCAAGCAGGTTATAAACATTACTTGCATATTTGTTTTGTTCAGTCAACATCTAAAAGGGTAGGTACAGTTACCAGCACTTGATATTAAAATGTCTAGTGCTGGGGTGTCTGGGTGGCTCAGTCAGTTGAGTGTTCAACTTCAGCTCAGGTCATGATCTCATGGTCCATGGGTTTGAGCCCCGTGTTGGGCTCTGTGGGACAGCTCAAAGCCTGGAGCCTGCTTCGGATTCTGTCTCTCCCTCTCTCTCCCCTGCTCGTGCTCTGTCTCTTATCTATTTCTCAAAAGTAACCAAACATAGGGGCGCCTGGGTGGCTCAGTCCGTTAAGTGTCTGACTTCAGCTCAGGTCATGATCTCACGGTTTGTGGGTTCGAGCCCCGCATCGGGCTCTGTGCTGACAGCTCGGAGCCTGGAGCCTGCTTCAGATTCTGTGTCTTCCTCTCTCTCTGCCCCTCCCCCACTTGCACTCTGTCTCTCTCTCTCTCTCAAAAATAAATAAACGTTTAAAAAAAAAAACAAACATAAAAAAATAATAAAATAAAATAAAATGCCTGGTGTTGAAGTAACATCACACTTGTGGTTTAAAATACAACTAAACACGAGCTTATTTACCCTGTTTAGTTCTCAAGTGCTAGGCTCCATAGGAACTTAATAAAAGTTCCAAGCAAGATGGAAGGGAAGCAGGAAGCCCATCTGTCTCCAGACTTCTTGGCTCCGATGTTCCCGCTCTCCCTACTGTGTTCGTTCTTGCTGTGCACAAATAACGTCCTCATTAACCCAGCCCAGGAAGATATGACAGAGTAACAAAGTGTATGAGCTCTGGGCTCCAAAAGACCTGGGCTCAAGTCTCATGCAACTGTTTAATCACTAAGTAAGCTTAGACAATATTTAACTTCTCTGAGCTTCTCTTTCTTTAGTTGTGATGATGGATACTATACTGATCTCACAGCTTGGTTGAGAGAAAAGAGGAGATAATATATGCACAGTGTTTGGCACACACATGACAGCTGTTGTTATGATGAAGACATTTATTATCAAAACAGAAGAACATGAAGTCAGGAGGCTGACTAACTCACTCATGGCAGACAGACTGACCAGTCTTCCCACAGTCCTGGATAGGAACTGTTGAAGGGTTTCGAGTTTGAATGTGAGGCGGTAGGTGATTTGCGAGTAGAGAGGGGAAATGTGCCAAATCCAGGCCAAGCTAAAAAGCAAATTTCTGAGAAGGATACATTTCCCAGGCACATAAAAGCCAGCAGAACCCCAGATCTCCAAGGGTTTACTTGAAGGCCTCACTCTCCATGGCTGCCAATTAGGTGCTAAATTTAGAGGGGTTCCTTGTCCTCTCCTTACTTTGGCACGGGAACATTCGGCAGGAACCAGGTTCCTTATATAACAGAGTTGCTTGTTGACTTGGGGCTAATTGGCGAGGTGGCCTGTGAAATCTGGCCAACCCCAGCAGGTAGACACACGGGCTGTGCCCAGACCAGGGCCATGCTTCCCGCATGTAAGGTTTAAAGGAACAGTGGGGAGGGAAAGAAGAAGAGAGGACACTGAAAGTCAGAAAGGACCAATGTCAGAAACAAACTGCTCAGAAGAAAAGCTTAGGCAAATATCATTTAAAAGCTTAACTACGTTGGGGCGCCTGGGTGGCGCAGTCGGTTGAGCGTCCGACTTCAGCCAGGTCACGATCTCGCGGTCCGTGAGTTCGAGCCCCGCGTCAGGCTCTGGGCTGATGGCTCGGAGCCTGGAGCCTGTTTCCGATTCTGTGTCTCCCTCTCTCTCTGCCCCTCCCCCGTTCATGCTCTGTCTCTCTCTGTCCCAAAAATAAAATAAAAAACGTTGAAAAAAAAAAAATTTAAAAGCTTAACTACATAAAAAAAGAGATCTCTGTTGAGAATTATGTAAAAACACTTCGAATCATTCTTACTCTGTTAGAATGCAAGATACCTTAGGCTGTGGACCTGTTTCTTAAGGTCTTCTTTAGTAACCTGACTACTGAAAATCCCTTAGATTTCCTCTGCAAGGCAGCTCTCTACACCAACGGGTTACAAATCATCAATGTGGCACTGATGGCCTGGACCTTTTACCCCCAGAAAACACCCCAGTACTTGGCCTTTTATCTCAGTATGAAACTTGCTAGGGAAAAAAAGTGGACTCTGGAATCTTCAGGTATGTTCAGCACTGTCCACAAGAAACAAGGTGTAGGACAGACCAACAACATGAGGCTTTTCTATGGCTGTAGTAGGGCCCCAAATAGAGAAGAAAACCCTGGAACATGCTGAAGAGTCCAAGCTATGCCACAAAAGGCTTCATGTTTGTAAGATGGTGCCTGTTTTAGTACGGTAGTAGGAAAATCTCTCAACGGAGAGAAAGATGGGGTTAAGCTAAAAAGGGTTAAGACATCTCTCAGTGGAAGTTAAAGCCAGAGTCGGCCATCAGAGGGCCTTAACAGTCTTCACCACTCCACATCTGTGGCCCATTAGTCTGGCATGGGCACCCACACCCCCGCCTCTGACCCCGTCCTAAGTGCGGGTCACCACAGATATACTAAACAGCAGGGTCTGATAGAAGAATTCTCTCCCTTCTCTTTCTAATTCATCACCGAATGGCTGAGCCAGTTTAAAGTGACAGCTAAGAAAGTCTCATGGTCTCTGAATTCAGGGGTGGAAAATACCGAGCTCACGTGTTGACACAACCCTCATCTAGCAATCATGGCACTTTTCCTATTGAGCCCACACCCAGCTCTGAATCACCCCCAACACAGGCAGCCATTACCAATAGCTGAGCTGATATGTAGAGTAAAATCTGACTGCCATCCTTGAGCTAGGAATTCATTCATGTAAGATTCACTAAGTGCTTAGAACAGGTCAAATACTGCTCTGGGTTCAGAGACGACTAAGACTCATTTCCTGACCTCTAGGAACAAATAATTAGGTGAGGGTGCCCCACTCTGTTTATCTCACGGTAAGACGTGTTGGATGCTGAGAACGGTTTGATGTATAAGGTGTGACTACAGTGCAGAGTAAAGAGCAGTTAGTCATACCCCAGAGGAAAGGGAGAGAGGACCAGGGAAGTTTACAGACATAACACAGAGGTGATTCATAGGGAGACACAGAAATCTGGAAAATGGAGAAGAGGGGCTAGGAGAAGCCTGGAGGCACGAGGGGTGTAAGAACAGGGAGAGTTCCGTGTGAGTGAAGCACCGTGGCGATGGTGAGGGAGGAGAGGACACAACACGCATTTGAGCGAACTGGAGCGCCGCGGAAGAATCTGAGGAGGGAAACTGGAGCTAGATTAGGAGTCTAAATTTCACTCTGATGGCAAAAGGAATCCAACAGAATTGAAAAAAACTGTTTACCTTCCAGGTCAAAAAGGTATCCATAGAGAGCAGAGAAGCTGTGTTTGTCTGACATGGTCCTTAGGCCCTTCTTACTGCATCTGGCTTCATCGCTGAGCACGGCTGTAGCTCTACGTCCGTGCTGGCTCGCCATCTGCACTTAATGGATTAGACACAAGCAGGCACCTGCAGAGCTCCATCATTCTTCACCGCACACCCGGTAATCCTTACCTGTCAGCTGAACCAGCTGCTATCTTGCTTCCATCAGGTGACCAAGAACATCTCAGGAGATTCTATAAAGATTGGAATTCAATGAATACAGTGATTAATGCACCACACCCCTCTTTACTGGACCACAGAATCACCAAGAGACTTTAAATTTCTCATTTAAAAAAAAAAAATTTTTTTTTTAACATTTATTTATTTTTGAGACAGAGAGACAGAGCATGAATGGGGAAGGGTCAGAGAGAGAGGGAGACACAGAATCGGAAACAGGCTCCAGGCTCTGAGCTGTCAGCACAGAGCCCGACACGGGGCTTGAACTCACGGACTGTGAGATCACGACCTGAGCCAAAGTCGGAACTTAACCGACTGAGCCACCCAGGTGCCCCAAGACTTTAAATTTCTTAAGCAGAGTTTCAATTAGTCTCCCCAGAAAGATGATCAGCAATCATCTTATATTGTGTGGCCTAAGACAGCATACTTTATTTCATACAACATTCAAACCAACTGTAGAAAATGCGTCATTCACAGTAAATTAGAGTGGACCTGGCAACAAAATGTTGTTCTGCCTACAAATGAAGGTTTTCTGTGCTCACTGATCTCGATCCTCATTAATAATTTCATTTTGGGGGCGCCTGGGTGGCTCAGTCAGTTAAGCAGCCGACTTCAGCTCAGGTCATGATCTCGTGGTCCGTGAGTTTGAGCCCCACGTCGGGCTCTGTGCTGACAGCTCAGAGCCTGGAGCCTGTTTCAGATTCTGTGTCTCCCTCTCTCTCTCTGACCCTCCCCCGTTCATGCTCTGTCTCTCTCTGTCTCAAAAATAAATAAATGTAAAAAAAAAAAAAAAATTAAAAAAAAAATTCCATTTTGAAGGAAAATAAAAATAAAACCAAATCCAACAAAAAACAAGATTTGATTTATAAAGTGAAACTGAATGGGCGCCTGGGTGGCCCAGTCAGTTAAAGCGTCTGACTTTGGCTCAGGTCATGATCTCATGGTTCATGAGTTTGAGCCCCACATCGGGCTCTCTGTTGTCAGTGCAGAGCCCGCTTTGGATCCTCTTTCCCTCTCTGTCTCTCTCTCTCAAAAATAAATAAAACAAAAAAACAAAACAAAACAAAACAAAAAAACATGAATAAATATATTTCTAAATATAAAGTGAAACTGAATCATACAGACTCTCAAAAGAAAAAACATTAGTCTTATTATTAACAAAGTATCTGGAGGAAAAGCTGCTATCAAAAACTGACCTAGGACTTGAGATTTAAGAAAAATTTCTCTCAAAATCTGGGCCATGGTCCTTACTGAGGAAAGGGATGTATTCTCAGGGCTCTAACAGTGGGTCACTGGGAAGGTGAGGGAAGCCACCTGAGTAACAGACAGGAAGCCTGAGTCCCATATGTAACACTGACCCAAGAGGGTCAAAGTTTCCAAGGAATGAAAAGGAGGTTAAGACTATCTTGTTGAAGTCAGAAGTCTTGAATTTGAAGGCGGTCACACCACCGTCTATCTATGTAACTTTCCTTCCTCCCTATGCTTCCATTAGTTTTATTTCTGGCAAGAACGGTTTTGATGGAGAACAGTGTTCACTGGAATATAGCCCCTTCCTAGTAGAGCTACTGCCCTCTATCCTTAGCACCACTTTTTTTTTTTAATTGAGATATAGCTGACATATAACACTGTTTTAGTTTTAGGTGTACAACATAATGATTTGATATATATAAATATCGGCCTTGGCACCACCTTAAATGTATCTCCGAGTCAAATGGACAGTAAAACTCTTTAGCCATGCAGGACTCACCTTTTCAAAGTTGTGCACATTTCCTTGAAATATCTTCACACACCTCTCTTTGGGAGCAAATGGCCGGACATCCCAGACCCGCACTGCAAACGGAGCAAAACATGTTATCAGCTGGAGGCCTCCTGAGAACCCAACCGAAGTCAGTGTCATGTCAATGACAGATGCTGTTTCCTGGACGAAGGAGGGCCAACACGGTAGAAGGTACATGGGAAGGCTCTCTCTCTCGTTTTTTCTAACAAAAATGAAATGCATACAAATTCCATGAACAGTGACTAAGGGCACAGAGGAAAGCTGAGGAGGCAGGAAGGGGAAATGCCAAACACATAGCTGGGGGTCTGCAACAGAAAGTAGGTGGGTGTGACATTAATTTCACCAAACATTTGCAAAGGATTTCTCTTGCCAACCCCAAAAGTCACATCTAACAAAGCCTTAAACATGACACTCTAAATACCATGGACTACTGTGACAATCATCTACAAAAACCAAACCCAGGACTGACCTTTTCTAACTTCGCTCACAGGGACACCTGACAGTCTGAACTTGAACAAGGAAATATATCCAGAGAGTACCATACTAAGAATTAGAAAAAGTGAGCTGTGATTCTCATTCTAGCTCTGTTATATGTATGGGTGATATCAGGTAAAAAGTGAGTTTTTGTGTTTTGTCTCTGTAAAATGAGAATACCATCTGTTCTTTTACTTTTTCATGAGTATTTTCAGGATACAAGGGACAGGGCTCTAAGAGAGTGGAGGCAATAAACAAAAGGATTTTATAAATTTTATCATACAGCCATAATAAAAATTCTTATTATTTTACTAACCATTCAGGGAATCTCATCTTTCCTTATATAGGGCGAACACTGCTACAATTAGTCAATGGTAAACACATCACGATCAGGATATAAACATGCGTGGTAAGCAGTGGCTACAGTTGTTAACAAACGTTATAACTATAGTGGAATTCAAGTGACGATGTCATTTTAATTGAGTGTGAAAAACAAAACAGTCCTTGAAATCAGGCACAGAAAGGTGAAGGTATGCATGAAAGTTTGCTACTGAGTTGAGGACAGTCAGAAAATAAGGGTGCTCATTCATTCAAGAACCCGCTGAATGCTAGGCTCTGTTTGTTTTACAAAATGTCAGTGAAAGCATTTCAGTTCCTGACAAGCCTATGAACTTGTACACCAGAGGGGCATCTCTAAGCTCTCCCAACACAAAGCATATACTCCATCCTCCTTTTTGCTATAGTAAACCCATCCTCCCACATAGCAACTCAGAAACAAGCAGAGGAGAGTGTTTGTGTGAATGCGGAATGTTGCGATGTCGTAATGAGGACCTCTTGTCACACCAGTCAGTGCTCTGAAGTGAGGGCAGACGCGCTGGCAGAAAGAGCACAGTTCTACCCACAGCTCTGCTGACCAGCCAAGCTCGGTGCTCTCTGAAATGCTTGCGAACTGCTTTGGATGGATCTGCAGACCCACGTTTCTCAACAAACTAATGATCACCAAGAGTTTCTAGTATGCTGCCTACATCCGCAGCACACCAGACGCTGAAATGGGTCTTAAAAGCTTGTGTCAAGTTGCTCAGGGATTAGATGGCAGATCTGGGACCAGAATCCTGGCTTCTTGACCATATCTTTTAAAGCTTTTTCTGTTACAATGTGTTTTCCTAACTGCCCTGGTAGAAACCTGCGAGCCACTTTTGACTCTTTCCTTGGATCCACGTTTATCCCAGCACAATTTCTACCACCCAATGCCCACTTTCTTTAGGGTCCACAGTGACTGGGCACTTGGAGGGCTTTCCTTTTTAATGTTACCTGTATTGTCCATTGCATTGGACAAGAGATAAGAGCCTTCAGAACTTAAACTCAGGCCCGTCACTGAATCTGCATGGCCTCTCATGGTGTAGGTGAGCTTGTTTTGGCGCAAGTCCCAGACCTATAAAAACAAAAAAGTTGCTCCCAGAAATCAAATTGAGAATAGCAAAGAAACAGAGTTTTTACTAAAGACTCAATGGCCTGGAGAAACTGGTAACCCTTCTCAATCTGGCTGTGGGCCAAGTATAACTTTAGCACAAAATAGAGGATTTCTGTCAAAGAGGAAAAAAATTCTTGTCTTTCTAAAAAGGGAGTCAAAAGTGCTATGTCTGACCAGAAGGCTAATAAATGTCAAGACTTATGTTTAACAAAAATTAATAAAATTTACAGAGACTGTTCTCAAATCATAACAAAATGTATTAGAAATTAAAAAACTAGGGGCGCCTGGGTGGCGCAGTCGGTTAAGTGTCCGACTTCAGCCAGGTCACGATCTCGCGGTCCGTGAGTTCGAGCCCCGCGTCGGGCTCTGGGCGGATGGCTCAGAGCCTGGAGCCTGTTTCCGATTCTGTGTCTCCCTCTCTCTCTGCCCCTCCCCCGTTCATGCTCTGTCTCTCTCTGTCCCAAAAATAAATAAAAAAACGTTGAAAAAAAATTAAAAAAAAAAAAAAAAGAAATTAAAAAACTAAGTAGCATTTAAAATGCTTCAACTATGATTCTTAGCAATTTAAACTATTAGAACTACAGAAGGGGCACCTAGGTGGCTCAGTTGAAGCATCTCACCCTTGATTTTGGTTCAGGGCATGCACGATCTCACAGTTCGTGAGGATGAGAACTGCATCAGGCTCTGTGCTGAAAGAATGGAGCCTGCTTGGGATTCTCTCTGTACCCACCTCTCCCCAACGCCCCTAATCATGCGTACACACGCGCATGCACGCTCTCTCTCAAAATAAATAAACTTAAAAAAAAAAACAAACTACAGAAAAACAAGTGAACATGTCATTTGAAAAGAGCATTACGATTACATGTAAATGTATCTTAAGATAATACTCAGAAATATACACGCTTAAAAATTTTCATTTAATGTTACAGGTACACAACACACACACACACACACACACTACAGAAAAGCATATTTATTAAAAGAAAAATGAACTGCAGATTCACTGTTGCCTGGGTAGGAAACGTAGAAGAAACATTTCAGCTAAAAATAACCTAACATCAAACAGGGAATATAAATGGTTCATTAAGTTACAGCCCATGAACACACTGCAACAGCACAGGACTTTGCTAGAGACAGTACAGCAGAGTGAGGATTTAGGGTCAGACTGACCCAGTCCTAAGAGTTCTGTCTTATTGGGCCACTAACCCTCTCTGAGCCTGTTTCTGGTCTGTAAGATGGGGATAACAACATTTACCTCTTATGGCTCAAATAGAATGCTCAGCAGATGCCTGGTATGCAGCAGGCCCTCAATAATTGGTAGCTATTATTAAGCAACCTCTAAAAATAACTCTGAGGACCAAATGGAAAAATGTTCCAATAATAAGCTATTAAGCTAATAAAGAAGATACAAAATAGCATTTATATTTACACAGACTGCAACTATGTGGAAAAAAAATAAAGCCAATAGCAATGGTCTGGAATGTCATATGGAAAAAAGAACAGCAATTTTGGTAAGGTCATTGGTATTACACAGAATTTCCTCCAAATTTGATTTAATACTGCCATGTAGTTTTTCTGAGTGGGAAAAAAAATGTTTTTGCTGCCTATTTAAGCAAGGCACTTCCCTTATCTAGAAATGAGTTTGGTGCTGCATGTCAAAGCAATGCAGAAGGCAGACAACTCCACTTTCCCCATCAATAACTCACTCATGTGTGGAACCCAACACACTTTATATACAATCATTTTTGTGTCAGGTGTTTGCTGCCTCAATAATCAGGAAAGCTTGAAATGGCTGACGTCTTTTGTTCAAGCTACTGTTCCTCCTCTTCAGGGAAGACACTGTTGAAGTCTTCAGCTTGTTAGGAGAGAATGCAAAGCCATCCCTCATAGCACTTGGGTGCCATTTCCAGACCTTCCTTCTTGAGGCATGTACACGTTGTGCACAGCCAACACATATCCAGATTTGCTGTAGAAAGTAGCACTAATTTAAGCAAGACATTTCGCAAATCCCAAATCAATTGTTCAGTGAATGCTTGGGCATCTGATTGGTGGGCAGCAAGACTATGAGTTTTCATACTGGAAACAGTATAACAGGGTAGAAAGCTTTTCTAAGCTTTTGGAATACTGTGTACTTTCTAATAAAAAAATTTCCTGGGGTGCCTGGGTGGCTCAGTCAGTTGAGCATCCGACTTCAGCACAGGTCATGATCTGTTTGTGGGTTCGAGCCCTGCGCTGGGCTCTGTGCTGGCAGCTCAGAGCCTGGAGCCTGCTTCGGATTCTGGGTCTCCCTCTCTCTCTCTGCACTTGCCTCACTTGTTTCTCCCTCCCTCCCTCCCTTTCTCTCTCCAAAATAAATGAACCTAAAAAAAATTTCCTGAAAACAAAGCACTGGCAGAAAAATCTGAATGTCTATACACTAGTTTAAAAGATAAAGAATAGAAAGCTACGATGTAAAAATACGATGTAAAAATACGTAGCACTGGGGCACCTGGCTGGCTCAGTGGCAGCAGTATGTGACTCTTGATCTTGGGGTCGTTAGTTCAAGCCCCCTGTTGGGTGTAGAGATTACAAGAAAATAAATGAATAAATAAACTTCACAAAAAAAAGGGGGGGAAACCCACATATGATAACCAGGAACTAGTTCGTTAAATTATACAAAACCAGAATCAGGGGACTTCTCAAAGAAACATGAAGGACATTCTTTTAGAAAAAAGCCAGTGGGGCGCCTGGGTGGCGCAGTCAGTTAAGCGTCCGACTTCAGCCAGGTCACGATCTCGCGGTCCGTGAGTTCGAGCCCCGCGTCGGGCTCTGGGCTGATGGCTCAGAGCCTGGAGCCTGTTTCCGATTCTGTGTCTCCCTCTCTCTCTGCCCCTCGCCCGTTCATGCTCTGTCTCTCTCTGTCCCAAAAATAAATAAACGTTGAAAAAAAAAATTTAGAAAAAAGCCAGTGAGGGGCACCAGGGTGGCTCAGTCGGTTTAAGTGTCTAACTCTTGATTTTGGCTCAGGTCATGATCCCAGGGTCGTGGGATCGAGCCCCGTGTTGGGCTCCGTGTTGAGCATAGAGCCTGCTTAGGATTCTCTCTCTCCCTCTAACCCTCTCCCTTACTGACACTCTCTTTCTCTAAAATATGGGGCACCTGGGTGGCTCAGTCGGTTAAGCAGTGGACTTCAGCTCAGGTCATGATCTCACCGTTCGTGAGTTCGAGCCCCACATTGGGCTCTGTGCTGACAGCTCAGAGCCTGGAGCCTGCTTTGGATTCTGTGTCTCCCTCTCTCTCTCTCTGCCCCTCCCCCGCTTGCACTCTTTCTCAAAAATAAACATTAAAAAAAAATTAAAAAGTAAGTAAATAAATAAAATAAAAAAAATAAATAAGGAAAAGAAAAAAGCTAGTGATATATGTAACTGCTGTACTTATGGGACTTTATTTACACATTCTCTATATAAGATAAGTTCAGCCTTCAGAATAAAACCGGTACGATTGACTAGCTATCTGTAGAAACCACCTACCCTAAGAGAAGGAATAACATATGGTATGTGTCTGAGAGGACATGGAAAACCTTCAAATCCTAAAAAGGAACCAAGTATCCCTTAAGGACTATAGCATACATTTAAAATATCTGTTTATAGAAGACCCAGGAATAGGCTAGGATAAAGAGTATGGAATAAGTCACACTGTATGTGGTGAGAAGGCCTTACTGGCACAAGAGTATTATTCTTAAACGAGTCTATCCCCTCAGTGTAGATGAGGGCATCAAATTGTCAGACCTTAAGTAAAAGAAGCCAGTCTCAAAAGGTTACATACTGTATGATTCCATTTGTACGATATTCTAGAAAAGAAACTATATGACAAAGAATGGTTGCAAGGACTTAGGAATGGAAAGAGGGTTTGATACAGGAGGGCACTATAAATTTTGGGGGTGATAGAAATTGTTCTGAACCTTGTTTGTGGTAGCTATACAAATCTATGCAAGCATAAACATTCACAGAATTGTACAAAGTTAATTTCACCATGTGTAAACTTTAATAGTAATGTATTTTTTTTTTAATGGGAATTTTTTCTTTTTCTGATGTAAGCTACATGCTCAACACGGGGGGGGGGGGCTTGAACCCACGGCTCTGAGATCAAGAGTCGCATGCTCTACTGACTGAGTCAACCAGGCCACCCCAATAATAATTTTAAAAGTATGAAAATTACAATACCTTAATGACACAAACCTACTGTCAGGTATAGAAGATGCCCTCTAGTGATTCTAAAGCTAATGGGCTCCCAAACTTCTCTCTGGGAAACACTGCATTAGCTATTAAGATGATCTAATTAAGTTCCTGTGCCCGGATCCCATATTCTCCATACAAGTTATATGATAGAAAGGGATGAGAAGTTACATTTTGGAAGTGGTCAATTTTCAAGTATTGTGGGATATCCAAGTGGGGACTTCTGAGGGGCTGGTCGTATACAGGGGTCTGGAGCTGAAGATCTGGGCCAGGAATATGGAGTCATCAGCACAGAGATGACAATTAAAGTCATGGAAGCGGGGGTGCCTGGGTGGCTCAGTCGGTGAAACATCTGACTTCAGCTCAGGTCATGATCTCGCAGTTCGTGGGTTTGAGCCCCGCGTCCGTCTCTGTGCTGACAGCTTGGAGCCTGGAGCCTGCTTCACAGTCTGTGCCTCCCTCTTTCTCTACCCCTCCCCTGTTCACACTCTGTCTCTTTCTCTCTCTCTCTCTCTCTCAAAAATAAACATTTAAAAAAAAAAAAAAAGAAAGAAAGAAAGAAAACACACCATCTGGGAAAACTGATGGCATGAAGGCCCAGACAGGAAAAGGAGATGAAATCCTTCTGCTAAAGGGACTACCTTTAGACAAAAGCAAGCACATGTCATCCACTGTAACAGCGAAGGAGGCAAGGAGGGATGGGAATACAGCCCAAGTTTTAGGCGGTGACAACACAGGAAGCTGAATATTTACTCACCAGTTACCACTCTAACAGTACAACAGAAAGTAAGGTCAAAATCTTTGAAATATTTAAGGAAGCCAACAGGTAAAGACAGACGCAAATTGGGTAGCCCCCCAAAACACTTCCCTTCTACTGGCATTTGCTGTGTCCAGAAACTGCTAGGTGCTCTAATGCATTAGGTTCATTTAATCCCCACAACAACCCTAGAAGGTAGACGTTCTTGTTACTGTTGAGAGGCTTATAGAACTTAAACAACTTGGAGTCATAAAAAACTAGAAAATGATAGAACTGGGATTAGAATCCAAGTCAATTACTCAAAAGCCAGAGCCACACTGTACTGCTGTATGGACTACTGCCACTCTCTATGACATCATCACTTCCCTCATTCTTAGCTGTGGACTCCCCAAAACTTCCTTTCCACAGTCTCAAAAAGAAAGATATGCTGAGAGATTGGAGCTGAGAATCACAAACTGCTTCAGTGTTATCTCATCAGGCCATCACAGTGGGAAAAAACAAAAAGTTTGCAAATGTCTTTAGGCAGGGAATGCATTCTTCGTGTTCACAGAATCCACACACGGGGTTTCACAATTCACATTAACTGTCTGGTCCCTGATGGCATTTACATGAGCTGTAATGCAACCTTTGACTTCTGTCAATGAAGACAGGACAGAAGGAAAACAAGATTTAACTTACTATCCTCCTTGTAGTTGGTACAAAGTGGAAAGCTACCAAAATCTCAGAAGTTTGAAAACATTACCTCTGAGAGTGAAGAGAGGTGAAAGGGAAATGTAACACAAACATTAAACATACCTTGATATCATTGTCTATTCCCCCAGAAATAATCTGATCACTTGTGTCATTGAAGGTCACAGCTAACACCTGGTAGGTGTTCTGAAATGTCTGGATGGCTGCTTTCTTCCGGATGTCCCAAAGCTGAAGCAGAGGAACAAGAGGGTCTATGGTCAAACATCATTCTAAGAAGTAATTGCATAATACATCCCGAAATCCAAGGACTTTGTACAGGTGAATACATTTTTAGTAGGGATCCTGTTCAGAAACTTGTCTGGATTTCCTAGTAACATGGTGAGAAGTGACCACAATTTTGCCAGTGTATCTGAAGGCTGGGAGAACCAATCACTTTGGTTGTATTTTCAGATTCCTTTGTTAAAGTATGAATAAGTACAGTTAATCAACACGCTCTTAGAATGGAAATCCTCTACTTGTTTAGTTGATATTTAAAAAAAAATTTTTTTAATGCTTATTTTTTGAGAGAGAGAGAGAGAGCGAGCATGATCATAGGAGGGGCAGAGAGAGAGAGGGAGACACAGAATCCGAAGCAGGCTCCAGGCTCCGAGCTGTCAGCACAGAGCCTGACACGGGGCTCGAACCCACAAACTGCGAGATCATGACCTCACCTAAAGTCGGACGCTTAACCAACTGAGCCACCCAGGCGCCCCTAGTTCATATATTTTTAACACAGCAAGGATATCAGACCAGTGTTTTTATTTATTTATTTTTTTTTAAATTTTTTTTCAACGTTTATTTATTTTTTGGGACAGAGAGAGACAGAGCATGAACGGGGGAGGGGCAGAGAGAGAGGGAGACACGGAATCGGAAACAGGCTCCAGGCTCTGAGCCATCAGCCCAGAGCCCGACGCGGGGCTCGAACTCACGGACCGCGAGATCATGACCTGGCTGAAGTCAGACGCTTAACCGACTGCGCCACCCAGGCGCCCCTGGACCAGTGTTTTTAAACTGGAGATCCTAACTCAGTAATGAGCTGTGGCTTACATGAAAAAATACAGAGAAAAAAACTTTTCTCATCAGCAAAAATGGAAGAGGAGGGAATACTAAAAGGCTGTCCCTCTACAAGAGCAGAGAATTATGTGACAAAACTGACAGAACCAACTTTGTCAGAACTCTAGAAACCAATCAGAAGCTTATAGCATCTAGGCAAATGCTTAATGAGGAACGAACCCTCCTGAATCTTACAGAGTTCTGTAGCGTCTTAACTTACCCTGGCTCCATCTCTTACGCAGCAGTAGCTTTGAAGACAATGGCCCACATCCCCAGGATAGGTTCCTGGTACCAGAGGGAGCAGAAGGGACCTTACTCCTTATTCTCAAAGAACTGTGGGGGTTTTTAACTGTCTGGTGGCTCCCTGAAGGATGAGCTTAAAGGGATGGACTTTACTTTGCCTAACTGGGAACGCTTCCAGGGCAGAGACATTGGTCTACAACATTTAAAGGCAAATGCATTAGCCTCTGCTGTCTGGAGCAAGGGATGGCAGTTGGAGCAAACCACAGACAAACCAAAAAGCTTGTGAGGAAAGCTGGGGAATGAGACAATTTGGAGAAAAGGGGCGTCGAAAAGCTGACATATTCCTAGGACTCTAGAAGGCCATTTGCATGCCCGTGTCTGGGCACATGCTCAGAAAAGCCCTGAGAAGGCCCTAAGCTCTCCTCTTGCTGATCTGCACAGGCTCAAACCTGTGCACAAGCAAGAAGTGAAGCCTAATGCAAAGTTGTAAACGGCCTGGCTGAGAGGCAGAGACAGACCCAACACGCACACAGAGCAAATCTGCAAAGACCAGGAGTTTTTCTTTTAATCACAAACCATTAAGAAAATCTCTACCAAAATCATTAGTGAATCGCCAAGCTAACGAAACCGAGATTTCAGTGGCTACGTACGGCAAACTATACAGACTTTACAAAATCAGTTCAGAAAATTCATCAAACAGCTACAACAAGGAGCAACAGCAAACCCCAGGGGGAGAATCTAATTTCTAGAGTTACCACATTATAATATTCAAATGTTCAGTTTTCAACAAGAAATTATGAAGCATGAAAACAAGCAAAAAAGTATGGCTTGTACAGAAGAAAAAAGAAATTAAATCTTCTAAAAAATGATGGGACAACTGGATAACCATACCTAAAATATGAAGGCAGACCTTTATCTTATACCAGATGCAAAAATTTACTCCACATGGATCAAAGAGTCAAATGTAAAAATTAAAACTATGAAATTCTTAGAAGAAATTATAAAGCACAAGTGACCAAAGAAAAAATAAACTTCATAAAAATTAGAGACTCTTAGGGGCACCTGGGTGGCTCAGTCAGTTAAGCATCTGACTTCGGCTCAGGTCATGATGTCACAGTCCTTGAGTTTGAGCCCCGTGTTGGGCTCTGTGCTGACAACTCAGGCCTGGAGCCTGCTTCAGAGTCTGTATCTCCCTCACTCTCTGTCCCTCCTGTCTCTCTCTCTCTCTCTCTCTCTCAAAAACAAATAAACATTTAAAAATTTTTAAAAATTAGAAACTTTTGTACATCAGAGGATGGTATCCAGAAAATGAGAATAAAACCAATAGTGGGAGGCATTATTTGCAAATCATATACCTGATAAAGATCCAGTATCCAGAAAAAGAAGCTACGGTTCAACAACAAAAACACAAAGAGTCCAATAACTGGGCAAAGGCCCTGAATAAACATTTCTTTTCAGATGATATAAGCGCAGGACAAGATGCTTAGCATCATAAATCATTTGGGAAATGCAAATCAAAACAATTAGATATTGCTTCCCACTTACTAGTGGGGAAAAAAAAGAAACCACAGAAAATAAGGGGTGCTGTTGAGGATGTGGAAAAATTGGAACCTTTGAACATCACTGGTGGAAATATAAAATGATGTGGCTGCTATGGAAAAGTCTGGATGTTCCCCAAAAGGTTAGAGTTACTCTTTGACCCAGAAATCCTAGATTGCTCCTAGATATATACCCAAGAGAAACGAAAGCAGGTGTTCAAACAAAACCTTGTACACAAATCTTTGTAGCAGTGTTAAAAACGAATCAAGTATTAATACATGTTACAAAGATGAAGCCTGAAACATTAAGCTAATCAAAAGAAACTAGACACAAAAGGCCACATATTGTACAATTTTATTCCCAACAGAGACAGTAAGTACATTATGGTTGCCAGGGGCTGGAAAGCAGGGAAAAAGTACTGACTGCTAAATGGGTAGGAAGGTGCTTTTTGGGGGTGCCAAGAATATTCTGGTATTGGATCATGGTGATGATCACACACACTGTGAATGTACTAAAAATCACTGAATTGTACATCTTTTAAAATGGTTAAAATGGTGAATTTTATATTATGTAAATTTTACCCTAATTTAAAAAATATATAGAAAAGATAATGTCACATATAGAAGAGGCTGATTCATAAACACAGACATACTGAGGGGAGTATATACTGGGTCACAGTTTAAAATGTATTCCTTAATGCAGATTGAGATTAAAATTTTTTTTTTAAATTACTACACTTAGAGGATCTAGTTTAACTCCAATTTTTATGGATGAGCAAACTAAAGCTCAAAGAAGGAATTAACTTGATGACAAACACCCAGCAAGTCAATAGCAAAACAAGGATTAGAATTTAGTACTGTCTGATTCTGTTATGTTCATGTTATATTAACTTAAACATACTAAAATATATGCTAATTTCTTATAACGACTAAAGTAATCTACACTTGTTTTATACCGTTAACTTTTTAATGGCTACTTGATTTATTAATAATAGAAGATAGGGGTGCCTGGGTGGCTCAGTTGGTTCAGTGTCTGACTCTTGATTTCAGCTCAGGTCATGATCTTACGGTTCATGGGATGAGGCCCCGACTTGGGCTCTGTGCTGGCAGTGGGGCGCCTGCTTGGGATTTTCTCTCTCCCTTTTTCTCTGCCCTTCCCCTACTTGTGCTCTCCCTCTCTCTCTCAAAATAAACACTTAAAAAAAATAGTAATAGTAGATAAAAATTAGGTATAATGAGACACCTGGGTGGCTCAGTTGGTTAAGCATCTGACTTCAGCTCAGGTAGTGATCTCACAGTTCCTGAGTTTGATGTCCCATCGGGCTCTCTGCTGTTAGCACAAAGGCTACTCCAGATCCTCTGTCTCCCTCTCTCTCTGCCCTTCCCCCGTGCTCTCTCTCTCAAAAATAAAATAAACGTTAAAAAAAAAAAATTAGGTATAACAACTCTAGAATCCCATACCCTAAACAATTAGGCTCTATTTTTAAAAAATAAATTTATATAACACGGATCTACATTTTTTTTTAAAGATTTTATTTTCGAGTAATCTCTACATCCAACATGGGGCTCAAACTCACAACCCTGGGATCAAGAGTCACATGCTCTACTGACTGAACCAGCCAGGCACCCCAACATGGATCTGCATTTATAGAGTGTGGATAATAGGGAGGGCCTAGAGATGTTTCTTTCCTTTCTTTTATTTAAAAAAAAAATTTTTTTTTTAACATTTATTTATTTTTGAGAGACAGAGAGAGGCAGAGCATGAGCAGGGGAGGGTGAGAGAGAGAGATACAGAATCTGAAGCAGTCTCCAGGCTCTGAGCTGTTTGTTAGCACAGAGCCCAATGTGGGGCTCGAACTCACAAACTGTGAGACCATGACCGGTGTTGAAGTTGGACGCTCAACCGACTGAGCCACCCAGGCGACCCCCCTTCCTTTCTTTTAAAGTTTATTTACTTGGAGAGACAGGGGGAGAGGGAGAGAGGGAGCGAATACACGCATGTGTGTGTAGGGGAGGGGCAGAGAGGGAGACAGAATCCCAAGCAGGCTCTGCACTGCCAGTGTGGAGCCCAACTTGGGGCTCAAACTCGAGAACCACAGGATCATGACCTGAGCTGAAAACAAGAGTCCGATGCTTAACCTAATGAGCCACCCAGGCACCTTAGAGATGTTGCAACAAATGACTGACAGACTTGGTAAGGTGAACCATGATGTTTTAAGAGTGTGGGTTATTTCATTCAAATGACAAAGACTGGGGTGATGGTGTCCCAAGTTTTACACACATGTCATTTAAAAAAAAAAAAAAAAAAGATGGGTGCCTGGCTGGCTAAGACGGTGGAGCATGTGGCTGTTGATC